CAGCAGAGTTCTGTGATCAGTTAGTGATGCCTGCCTTGGAATGAGAATGGGAGACTCACCAAGCGTGTTAATGTTTTTTACTGCTTCTGGAGGGGAACAGACCAGTTTAGTTTCTATGTCCTAGAAAATACTGATTTCATCATTTATAGTCATATACAGAAATATTTAAAAACCCCAAAACTCCGTGAAACTCCAGTAGCCCACAAAAGTAACGATTTATTTTCCACGTCAGTGTGGTGCATCTGGTCCCAGCTGGCTCGGCTGATCTGGCCTGGTCTCGGCGTGTGTGTGGGGAGGGCATCAGCGAGGCTGCTCTGGTCTAGGTGGGAAGCAGCATGCTGGTCTGGCATGGGCTTCCTGCCCCAGTGGGAGTGGCACCGAGGGCACACCTTGCTGGACAGGCCTGTTTATTCACATCTGCAAACATTCCATCGGGCATGCAGGCCACTCGGATGGATGAGTGTGTCAACCGCGCTCTGGTGTGGGTTGGGGCTGGGGGTCTCCACAGAGCTACACGGCAAAGAGTGTAACGGGGAGGGGCAAAAAGTTGGAGTCAGTGGAATTTACCACAAACATCAAAAGAGGACCTTCTCTCTCCGATAACAAGTCCGAGGAGCTTAGTGCAACGAGCACTGATGGAATAAACCTTCACCGAGCCACTGCCGTGACCAGTCAGTAAGCTAGATGCAGGGCTTCCGTGGCTGGAGCTGTGGTCGCTGCCCTCCAGGCCTGCATGGCCCGTTACTCCCTGAAATGGTCTGAACCAAGGTCCGAGAAGTGGGTTAGCCGAGCTGACTACTTCCCAGTGTATGGGGCCTCGCAGGGCTCAAAGGAAGGGAATAGGGCACAAGGTAACCTGTCCACACGGAAGGCCAACAGCTAAACTGTTACGCGCCTGTGAACTTCCAGACACCTTCAAGTTCTCATCTAATCCTCACGGGAGCCCTTGGGGTATGAAACATGACTCCTATTTGACAGGTACGGGACCAGGTTCAGAGATGTTAGAAGTGGCCCAGGCAGGTGGCCTGGTGGTTGAGGCGCTGGACTCCCATATGGCCAATTGCAGTTTGAGTCCCAGACCTGGTGGCTTGCTTTCTCACTTTTCTTCTCTCTCTCTGGTCAAAATGTAAAAAAAAATAATAATAATAATAAATAAAATAAAATAAAATAAAGTATGCCCAGGGCATACAGCTAAGAAGTGGTGTGACCAGGACCCCAGGACCTAAACTGAATTCACAGTTGGAGTTCAATGCTCTACTGCCCCCCACAGAACGCCTCGGCCTCCACCCATTCTTTTTTTTAAGGTTTTTGCCGGTAGGGCGTGTGTATTCCCTGAAGAGAGACAATGAGAGGGGAAGTGAGAAATGACCTCCCAGGGGGGTGGCCACGCCACAGTCCCTCCTCCTCCATTCTCTTCTTGGGATTTTGGGCACGCATGCACATGCACCCGTTGTTATCTTCAAGCCACCATGGTGGGACTTGAACGATGGTCAGCCATGTGGGAGTCCAGTGCCGTAACCACTACGCCACCTGCTGGCCCACCCTCTTTTTTCCCCAGGACCAGGTGGAGTGTTTCTTGCCTTCTCAGATTCCTTCTGGCTCTTCTCTTCCAGGCCGGATCCTGGGAGCCCAGCTGCCCCAGTATTACCAGGTCCTCACAGCTCCGATCAGCAAGGTGGGCAGCTCCCCAGCCAGGCAGTCCGGGGGACGCCTTCTCCCACCGAAGCCCCAAACCCTTCTCGCTGCTCTCTTGCCGTCCAGGTGCTGGATCAGTGGTTCGAGTCTGAGCCTCTAAAAGCCACTCTAGCGACGGATGCCGTGATTGGAGCCATGACAAGTCCCCATTCTCCAGGGAGCGGGTGAGCGCGGGGTGGGGCGGGGTGGCCAGCAGGGCAGGGCGAGTAAACGCCCCAGTGGGGATTGAGCTGCAAGGGCAGCTGCAGCAGTAATGACTGTCTCTCACTGAGCTCATCCGGTGAGCCGGGCACGAGCAGGTCACAGGGGTTCGTTTGCCCCTCAGAGCAACGCTGGAGAACTGTGGTTCAGCGGGGAAGGGTCTTGCTCAGAGTCACGCAGCTGGTAGGTGACAGAGCTGATTTCTGCCGCAAGTTGGCTGAGCACCCCCAAATCCTCCTACTTTACGATTCTCTACTGCTTCACTAGGAAAAGCCTCTCCCCGGCCCCCACTCATCTCCACATCAAGACCCTTCCTCTCCTCCCTCTCCCCTTCCCTCCCTTGCTTTCTCCTCTCCTCTCCTCCTTGGCACACCCTCACCCTCCTACTCCAAAACCCCGATGTCCCTCCCCTCCCATCACTCCTGTCCTGGGTTCCAGGACACGCTCAGACCCCTTTGCACACACGCGAAACTGCCTTTCCCGTTGTACGTGGGTGTGTGCTTACCGCCCAGCCCGAGAGGTGGCAGTCAGACACAGATGTGGCGAAGGTCATCTGACTCACTTTGCAGACGGAGTGAACCTCTCGTCGGAGCAGGAATGGAGGGGCGTGTGTGTGTGTGTGGAGGGTGTGTGCTGGGATGGGGGATGCTGCCAAGTCCTGGACCGTTTCCAGGGCACCAGAAGATGCAGCTAGAAGCTGTCAAAATGGCTTTTCTCTTGAGGGAGGAGAGCACCCCTTGGCAGTGTCTTTTCAACACACGTTACACCAGCTCCCACCCCCGGGCCCTAGAAAAGGGTGGTTGGCAGCAGTCGCCTCACCTTGGCCGAGTGCTGTGATCAGCCAGCCAACCCGGATCTTCCAACTGGGCCTCCTGTCCTCCTCTCTTCGGGTCTCCGGGAGGCATAGTTACTGCTCATGTTGTGAAATGCGGCTTCAAGTAATTTGTTTCTTCGCTAATTCCTCCAACAAATACTGCAGCAACCGGCCTGTGCCGGGTGCTGAGAATACGTGGGCAGAGCGGCCGCAGCAATACGCTGGCGAGGCCTCGGAAGAAGAGCAGCAGGAGGATAGCTGGGAGTTTAGAGAGGGCTCCAGGATCTGTGTGGGGAGAACGTGTGGGAGTCAGGGGCACTGCAGCGCTGAAGGAAGGAGAGAGCGGCCACAGGGAAGGGTTCATCTGAAAGTTTCTAGAAAGCAGAGTTGACAGCGCCTGACTGGATGTGGAGGGTGAGGGACTGGCGGGGGACACCTGAGTTTCTTTCTTTCTTTCTTCTGAGACGTTTTTGCTATAGGGCGTGTGCACTCACCAGAAAGACAGAGAGAGACAGAGAGATAGAAAGCGAGAAATCACCCCCCGGGGGGATGGCCACACCACAATCCCTTCTCCTCCATTTTCTTCTCGGGATCTTGGGCACGCAAGCACACGCGCCTGGCGTGAGTTTCAGCAACAGGGTCTGGGACTCAAACCACCGTCGACTACACGGGAGTCCAACGACATGGCCATTACACTAACTGCTGGTCCCGACACCTGAGTTTCTACTGGAAACTGATGGCCTATTCACTTGGGATGGAGAAGAGAGGAGAATGGGCTGAGGACAGGGGAAAGGTGATGGGTTTCAGATGTCTGCCCAAGGCCTCCCTGGAGGATGCTGATGTTGTGTGTCACTAGGGTGCGGGACGGAGCTCAGGAGAGCGCGGAGCTGCAGGTTTGCACGGGGTGGCCGTGTGGTTGGTGATAGCGTTACACGTAGGTGCATTTGCACGAGGACAGAGAGTAGAACAGAGGGCTCCCACGAGAGCCTGAGCTCACCAAAGGGCTGATGGAGGAGGCCTGGGTGGGGGCGGGAGGGGCTGAGGGCGTGTGAGGGCAGGGGTAGGTGCACCTAAACCCAGGAGATGAACACTGCCTCCAGCCCCTGATTCTGACGGTCTGTCCTCAGGTATGTGCTGCTCCATCACGTCATGGGGGGCCTGGAGGAGATTCAGGGGGCCTGGGGCTACGTCCAGGGTGGTATGGGGGCCCTCTCAGATGCCATCGCCAGCTCAGCCACCGCGCACGGAGCAACTATCTTCACCGAAAAGGTGAGCATCCCTTTACTCCCACCCGGTTATTGGCGAGGGTCCGAGGGTTGCACAAAGCCTTGCATTTAGAAACTCCCTCCTCTGGGGAACCAGCAGTTAGCGTGATGACTATGTCACTGGACTCCCATGTAGTCGACCGCGGTTCGCGTCCCGGACCCGGTGGCTTAGAACTCACACTGGGCGCGTGTGTATGCGTGCCCAAGATCCTGAGAGGAGAATGGAGGAGAAGGGATTGCGGCGTGACCATCCCCCCTGGGGGGTGATTTCTCGCTTTCTGTCTCTATGTCTCTCTCTGTCTGTCTGGCGAGTGCATGTGCCCTATAGTGAAAAATCTCTCCGAAAAAAAAAAAAGAAACTCCCTCCTCTGGGGCCAGGAGGTGGCATGGTGGTTAAGATGCTGGACTCCCACATGGCTGACCACGGTTCAAGTCCTTGACCTGGCAGCTTGAAAATGAAGCATGAAGGAGAAACAGTCTTGAGGCTGGGGGGAAAAGTGAGGGATTTAAGATGTCTGCCCAAAGCATCCAGCTGAGGATGTCTGTGGGTTACTGGACATGTGGGATGGAGCCCAGGCAGAGTGGTTAAGGTGCTGGACTCCCACATGGCTGACTGCAGTTCAGGACCTGACGTGTGAGCATGCATGCCCCAAATCCCAGGAGAGTGGAGGAGAAGGGATTGTGGCATAGCTGTCCCCCATGGGGATTGATTTCTCTATAGGGTGCGTGCACTCGCCAGAAAGACAGAGAGAGACAGAGAGACAGAAAGCGAGAAATCCCCCCCCAG